TACATTAAACACTTCTTACTCTGCCAGATTTCAGCTTCACCTTACACGCTACTTGACTGGATGGCTGTATTGTGGTTCACAGGTGTAAACACCCCCTTTGTTAATGACACTTCAAACCAGAGCTACGTCAGTCTATTCTGGATATAAGCAGGGTCTGAATCAATGCTTTCATTACAGCCAGCGGGAATTGGAAAGAAACCCTTTGTGTGTTTATGTAAATACAGTTTGCTCCTGCATTGCTTAGGCCTGCTAGATATTCAACTGTTACAATGGTGGTTTGCTCCTTGTAACCAATTTGGTTGTTGTGGGAGTCACACACTGTGGTAGCACTAAATGCAGGAATTGTGAGATGTGATTACCAATGCTTGCAGTTATTGTGGGAACGCAGAAGGTCAGACTGTGTTTAACTCAGTTCACACTTCAGGTGGGAGTTGTAAGACTGGTTCAATCCGTTTCGCCTCCTGGTCTAATGATGGAACCAGATCAGATTCCATAAGGAGTCTCTTTTACTATTCTAAACTTATTCCAGTGGATGATGGACTTTCTTGTGGCTGGACTGTGCTTAGGCTAAGAGCCAGCAAGTGTGAGTGGGGTGCAGGGAAGGGTTGGGCATGCGAAGGGGACATTGACATTGCTGGACTTATGAACCTGAGAGGAAAAGGACACGGCCCAACCTACTTATGCTTTTGGTTATGAACTATGTTTGAGGTGTTTTCCCAAATCAATACCACATTACTTCCCTCCCCTTTTATGAAAGGTTTCTTTTCTGTGCTCAGACTCCGTGCGTGCGAGTGGGGAAGCATTGCCTCTCAGAGGCTCCAAGGGGTGTTGTGTGAATTTCCCAGGTTACTGGGTGGGAGCTTGAGCCAGTTCTGTATCAGATGGATGGAGAGGAACCCCTAGATATTGAACCTGGCCCTGGCTGTGGCTGGCATGTGGCCCTGGCAGCAGGGTTACGTGCATTTTCCCTATCTGTGGACTGCTTATGGACTCTAATTGATCCTGGGTGCTCTGCATGTGTAGCAGCGTCGGACTGAACAACCTATTTTGACTTTTTAGGTTTTTTCTGCATCCTTTTACCACTAGAATTCCAATAGGTGGTGGAGGGGTGTTCAGTCTTGGCTGTCTTCTGTTGCACCCTGGACAAAAAGGTAGCTCTTAGCCAGGAGAGCTAGTTTATCGGGGGAAAATTGCCTGGCAGTGAAGTCTCTTGGTAGAGAATCTATATTCACCTGGTATGGCTGATCAGGTGGTCACATGATAAAGGAGGGTGGATGATCATAAAAAGACTGGAGCTGCTCTACTATGGCTCGTTGGCCATTTTTACCAGCCCAAACAGGCGTCTGATGAGCTGGGGAACTCTGCCCACCTGAATCTGGGTAGCCTGCCAGGGAAGAATCATAGAATACTAGGACTGGAAGGGACCTTGAGAGGTCATCGAGTTCCTGTGCGCTAGAATGATGGGCACCCTTCAGGGTGTGTGTTTTCTAAATGTGCGTTGCTTTCTTAAGCTTTGTTTCCAAAGGACCGAGTAGGTGGGTTGCGAACCTTTCCCTAAGCCTGTGTCTATTTGATTCTGCTCCCCAGTGTCTCCGAAAGGAACATGGTAGCTCAGAAAGCTCACATCTTCAGTGGGGTTTTTGGGGGACGTGCCAGAGCTGTTGGAGAGGAAATACTAGTTTTGGGGAGTAGGCAAGTGGAGACCCCACTGTAAAGAGGGTGTCGATATCAGGTCTATACCTGGAGTGCTGCCTAAAGACCCCCAAGCCCAAGGGTGGGCAATAATTATTGATGGGGGGGGGGCATTCCAAGAATTTGGAAAATGGTTGAGGGCTGCACTCTTCCATGGTATTCATGGAGGAGGCCCGGGGACTGGGGTGGAGGTTGGGTGCAGAAGGGAGCTTGGGGTAAGGGACTGGGGTGCAGGAGGAGGAGTGGGGTCTGGGAGGGAGTTTGGCTGAAGGAGGAGGGGTTGTGATTTGGGGCAGGGAACAGGGGTGCAGGGTCGAGAAGGAGGTATTGGTGCAGGAGAGGATTCTGACCTGGTGGGGGAGTGATAGAGGGGGTGCAGGATCTGGGAGAGGGTTGTGACCTGGGGAAAGGGTGCAGGAAGGGGTGCAGAGGTTTGGGTTGTGATTGGGGTAGGGGACTGGAGTGCAAGGTCTGGGAGGGGATTGTAGAAGTGCCATGAGCTTCTAGCAGGGCAGGAAGAGACTTCACACTTACATGTCCAGGGGCGACACAGAAACGATGGCTGTTTCCCAAGGGGCTGAACAGACTTGCCCGGAAAGATGCACAAAGGTCGTTCTCCAAGGTCACTTCCTGTTAGTGAGTGGAATCTTCCCAAACTGGCTTCTCTGCCAAGCTATGGGCTTAGAAAACTCCACTGTGCAGAGCTGGGCAAAGGTCCTTGGACCAGACGAGTTCCATTTCTCATTGTGGTTTGTGAGATCTCTGGGCTGTGGCCCTTTCTAGGGTGCTTGTTCTAGCTACACCTTGCCCTGTGCTTGGTGTTGGACAATGGGACTCTGGCTGTCCCTGGTTTAGGCCATGGGTAGTTATCTCCAAAATCTTCCCTCTGGGGTTCCCTTGCAAGCAGCTGGTGTCAGCTCCTGCAGAAGACAGGTCAGTGGGCAGATGGCCCTCACCTCAGCTGTGATCCAGTCCCCTTACTAAAGGCGCCTCTGACTTTTTCTGGGAGGATCCTATGTGCTGCAATCTAGCCCTAGGGACTACAACTCCCATGAGCCCTTGAGGAAACCAGGAAGAGAAGGCTTGCCTGGGCATGTGGAGAGAGGGTCTCAGAGTCTGGGATTCTCCATTTTGGGAGGGAGGAGCCAGGTTGCTGTGGAGGAGCCTTATTCAGTCCAGGAGCTGTTATGTTGCAGCTACAGCCTGGGACTGAGCGCCTTTGGGACTTGAATATAGCAGGCTGCTTTTGGGGCAGCTGATTGCCCTAGAGGGAAGAGACTCTGGCTGTGGTTGTGGCTTAGAAGGACTACACAACAACCAGCACACAGGAGGAGGCTCTAAGTAAATGGGCTCTTTGGGAAAGTGCTGCCTGGGACAGACCTCAAAGATATAGACTAACTCTGGGTCCAAAGAAAGGCAGAGTGTCCAGCCCAGGGTATCAGAACTCCTGGTATTTGGTGGAGCCTGCTCCAGCTGCAGAGAGAGTTTGCAGATGGCTGCATAGCTTGGACTAACACATACACAACCTACAGAGAACCTCCTGCAGATCTTCAATTGCACCCATGAAAGCAAGTGTCTGGGACTCTGAGTCCAGAGGAGTGCACACTCTGGGGTGGGATAGATGGTGGCAGTGCAAATGCCAGCTAGATAAGTTCCTGTTACTTCTGTGTACTTTTATTGATTTTATTCATGGTTAATCTGTTAAACCCTGTTTCTTTAAGTTGTTAAGTAAAGGTGTGTTCATTTTAATGTAATCAATTAGATGTATATACTTTATAATTGTTGTCCTGGGGTTAAATCCAGATTATTGCTGGAATAATTTTATTCCTGGAGGCTCCCAATGCACACCATTAAGTGTGTAAAGGGCCAGCCAGGTGTAGGCACCACCATTGCATGTTCTTTATGAGCAAGGGACTGCAGCAGGGGGATGGATAGAGAGCCCCCAACTAAACATCATCAGTTCACCACTGGGGTACTCAGGATCTCCTTTTATGTTAAAACCATCAGGCGCCCAGGCACACCTGCGAGTGTGACGGGCTACCGAGTAATGTGGGAAGGAAAAGGGTTACATGTGTTTCTACAGCAAAGTGAAATCAGTCTCTGCTGTCTCTTAGCTCTGCCCCCATCCGTAACACCACCTCAGAATGTGGCCTCGCACTCCCCCAAACATAGCCCTCAAGCTGACATGGGAGTGAGCCAGCCCCAGTGTACAGTATAGTACCAAGTGTTCTCCAGGAGACGGGGTCCCCTCCCCTGCCATGCACTGCAAGCCTGAGACATACCCCACTGGGTCTGGCTTGGACTGTAGTTCAGTCAGTCAGTGACTGTGACTCTGAGCTGAGACTCTGACATGGGAGTGCACAGCCCTGCCCCCAGCCAGCTCCTGGGTGCTAGCTAGCCAGCAGGCTGGGCACAGCCAGGGAGAGGGTGTGAATCATTACAGCCAATGAGCATCCTCTGACCCCCTCAGATGGGAGAGCTCAGTAGGAAATCACAGGGGAGGATAGAGCTCAGGGCTCTGCTACCAGGCCAGAGTTTATCACCCTTCCGGACCCAGTGTGGCATGGGCTGGGCCTGCTGGGATAAGCAATTAACAGGCGACAGGGTGTGACTACACAGCTCGCACCCAGAACAGGCGGTCCATGAATCATGTCGTACATAATTTGATGATTTTTCACGACCCACCAGCTTTGCGGCACTGAAACAAACATGCACGATGGCTGCATTTAGCAATTTATAGACAGCCTATCAGCCAGGGGTGGGCAATAAAATGGGGGCAGTTTGCCAGGGTTAGCCCCTGGTGGGTCGCTACTGCAATATTGACCTCCACCTCCGCAGGTACGGGTGATTGCAGCTCCCATTGGCCGGGAACGGTGATGTGCAGCCAATGGGAGCTAAGATCCCCTGTACCTGCGGAGGCGCAGGTAAATACTGTGGTGTGAGGGCCCGCCAAGGGCAGACTGGATGGTGTTTGCCCACCTTTCCCTAACCCCATCCAGGAGGTATGGCTGAAAGTAAGAACACAAACAGGACAGGAGTGAGGGGCGTTGGCCGAGCGGGGTCTGAGGTGGGGTGGGAGCTGCTGGTCAGGTGAGGGGCCATCAGCAGAGCTGTGTGTGGAGAGACAGGGCTGGAGAAGCAAGAGGTTGTTGTGGGTCAGGGAACGGGGCAGTGCTGTGGGTGGAAAGAGCACAGGGCTGGCACGGGAGGGGGCTAAAGGTTGGAATTAGGAACCTCAGCAGTAGATACGGTGGGTGGGTGGGATGTGGGTCGCTTTGCCCATCAGAGAGAGACAACTTACTCCAGTGCTCATCTTGTCCTTTATTCTACTGTCCTAGAGGAAAGAGGATGAGGGAGGGAAGGGGACTAGCATGTGTCTGTTCCGTCCCAGCAGCATTGGGGCTCATTAGCCCAATGCACGTTGTCGGGGCGCTGGAGAAACGGAGACTCTCGGGGCGCTGCATTCCACGGCAGGGTCCCGGGCACGGCACCGTGATCATGCCACGGGGGCCAGACCCACTTGGTTGTTGGCTCTGTCGAAGACAGCGTAGTACAGGCGGATGAAAATGTCCCCGAGGATCCAGAGCTCTCCGGAGGCGGTGGGGAGGTTGAGGCCTTCAAAGCCTGACGAGCAAGAGCCAGAGCTCTGCGCCGGGGGAAAATGGGACACGGTAGTTAGTGGGCTGGAATGGCAGTGCCCCTAGAGATACCATCCTGCAGGGTGGGCGTGCGCCTGTGTCCTTCTGGGGAATGGGGGATCTCACCACTGCCAAGCTGGCTCAGGGCAGGGCTCACAGACCTTTAAGGGACGTCTTGGGGAGGCAGAAAGTGGGGTTGGTGAAGGAGACCCAGATGCTCTGAGGTGTTGAAGGGCATAACTGCCACTGAACGACCTTTGGTGGATTTGGGCCTCAGAACAGCCCCGTTGCCCCAGCCTGAGGCTAAAGGGGGGGGCAGCCTGTCTAATGGGGAGACAAGCCAGGTGCCGGCCACTTCTGTCCATGATACATCCCTGGGGGAGGCAGAGCGGGCTCCCTCTAGCCGCCTGGCCAGGCTCCCAGGGGAGCATAAGAACATAAGAACGGCCGTACTGGGTCAGACCAAAGGTCCATCTAGCCCAGTATCCTGTCTACTGACAGTGGCCAGCACCAGGTGCCCCAGAGGGGTGGACCGAAGACAATGATCTAGCAATTTGTCTCCTGCCATCCTTCTCCAGTCTCTGACAAACAGAGGCCAGGGACACCATTTGTAGCCCCTGGCTAATAGCCTTTTATGGACCTAACCTCTATGAAATTATCTAGCTTCTCTTTAAACTCTGTTATAGTCCTAGCCTTCACAGCCTCCTCTGGCAAGGAGTTCCACAGATTGACAACACGCTGTTGAGCAACTACACTGGGCCACCAGAAATCCTGCTGTGATTACAACTGGGTTTGGGCTTCCCCACTGCCTGTCCCTAGATACTGGCTGGTAAAGCAGCTCGCCTGTTCCTCCCCAGAGGGGAGCAAACTGCCACCATAGGGAAGGAAAACTCCATTCTGAGGCCCATGCCTTGCAGCACAAGGCAGTGATCTCTGGGGTAGTTGCTCACTTGAGCCTCTCCTAGCCCGGTGAGGCCCTGCCCTGATGTTCTCCTGCCATGGCCAGTTCTACAGGCTGCCTCGCTGCCCTTCCAGGAGGTGACATTCACTGCGGGCCTGTCTTGCCCTTGAACGTTCCTGCCCCACGATCCCTGTGGGGGAAGAGCTCCCTGCCCTGCGCTCATTGTGGGGACAGACTCTGACCTGCATCTCAGAGATGCTCCAGCAGCCTCGTGCTGGCTGGGTGGGGGGAGTTGCCGGCACACCCAGTGCAATGGCCTCAGGCACAAGCCCTGGCTAAGAGGCCCCAAGGGGCTTTCTGAGCAGGACACTCACGTTGAGGATGTAGGCGCTGGCGGGCACAGGGAACGCGTTCCCGTTGATGTTGAAGATGATTTCGGGCAGGCTGCTCATGGCGCTGCAGCTGACCTGCAGGGAAGAAGGCCGCACAGGAGATGCCTCCATCCCCACTCCCTGCCCTTACCGCGCCATTGCTGGCGCCGATGTAGTAGTCGATGTTGGAGATGCCAGTGGTGGGCCCAGCCAGCAGAGACGTGCCGGTGTCAATGATAGCCTGGCAGCCACTGGAGCAAGCGATGGCCTGTCCATTCATGGTGATGCTGGAGGAGAGAGAGTTAGGGGCATGTCCCCAGGAACACTGCCAATCTCATACCAATGCAGCCCATGGACCCACCCCACTGCCTCCTGCTCTGACTGCCAGGAACTGTCCCCTGTTTCAGCCTAAACATCTTCCTTGGCTATTGCCCATCGCTCCTTGTCCTGCAGCCTTCTGGGATTGAGATTGATCTCACTTGGGGAGCCACAAACAGCTGTCAAGGGGTCGTGACCACTCTGCCCTGCCCTGGATTGCAAAGGGAGGGATCGTGGTGTGGACAAGGTGGAGAACCACGGATCAAGCCTCCTCACTGGTGACCCCCTTTCCGATAGCTCCACGGAACAGCTCGACCCCCATGTCTCTTGTCTAATCTCTGTAACCTGAGCATCCTCCGGCTCCCAGGTGCATCTTCCTGTGCCCGTCTCCTCAAGGTCGCATGAGGATGGGGAAGGGCCAAGAGGGGGGCGGTACCTGTCCAGGGTGATTTGCCAGTAAGACTCCGCAGACAGAGGGATCCAGTTGAGGTTCCCAGAGTAGTAAGATGAGTCGATGCCGCCGAACATCACAAAGCTCCCACTTTGGTCATCTCTGGAGAAGGGAGAGAGGAGAGCCAAGGGGGGTGCATGAATGGTTGACTAATGTGCAATAGCACACGCACCATCTGAACATAAGAACGGCCAGGCTGGGTCAGACCAAAGGTCCATCTAGCCCCGGGTCCTGCCTGCTAACAGTGACCAATGCCAGGCTAGGGATGCCACCACTTCCATCTTCCATGAATGTATCCAGTTCTTTTTTGGTCCCTCCCCTGTTAGAGAGAGGCCACAGCTGGGACGTGCTGGAACAGTCAGAGCTGGCCACATCAGCCTCTAGTAGTGGAGCTGGGACAGGCTGGTTGGCTGAGTGAGACACTTCAGCCCCTACTTTGATAGCTGTATCTTGCCTGATCTCAAAAGCTAAGCATGGTTGGGCCTGTCCTAAAACTGGATGGGCGGCAACCTAAAAAAGGGTCAGGTGTTCGAGGCTGCGATGTCAGTAAGTTCTACTGCTCCCTTTCCGTCCCTCACTAAGCAGATGGTTCTTAAACCATCTGCTCTGGGGTGTTAAAAGTCAGGGAGTTGTGTGGGTGATGTATTTAGGGTGTTTTCCCCCTAGGAGTCAGCCTAATACCGAAGACTTACTGTAAGGCTTGACAAGACCCTGATGCTTTCTTGTAATCATTAGTAGAGCCCTGCAAATCCACAGATATCTGCTTTATATCCGTGGCTATCTGCATGCGTGGACGTGGATGCAGATATCTGTGGATTGTTTTTGCAGGCGTGAATACCAATTTTGTATCTATGAAGGACTCTAATAATTAGAGATACTAGTGTTCACTTCTGCTCCCAAAATGTGCATTACCAGTGTGCAGTGGCTGTCATGTTCCACCCCAGAAGTGGCTGCGTTTTGGGGAATTCTGATGCTGACATCTCAGGGATCACTGTGTGTATGAGAGGTGCTAGAGGAACGTGACTCTCGTTGCAGAGGAACGTGACTTACGAGCTCAGGTAGACGGAGAAGAGGTCCTGGGACACCAAGCCCTCGCTCATCATGTTGTCAAAGACGGGGGTGGCTCCGGAGGAGGAGATGCTGGGGTAGGCCAGACCCAAGATCCCATCAAAGGGAGAGTAGTAGAGGAAAGAGCCGGGCTCAGTTTCGCTCAGGCCAAAGATCTGGTTGGTGTCCACGAGGCCTCCAACCTTAGGGGAGGGATGGGGACAATCAGACACACCCTACACCCTGGGAGACGCTGTCAGGTCTACCAGAGAGTCCTTACAGCATGCGAATTCACAGAGACCACCATGCCCTGAACTGTGCAGCCCCTCCCACGAGAGAAGAGTTTTCATGTTCTCTTTTCTTTTCCTATCTGTGTCTCCCAGTTGACGGCCAGTAGAGTTCCGGCTGTAACTTCCCAGGGGTGCCTTGTGCTTCTATCTCTGACCCATTTCTCTGCTCCAGGGTCTTTGGTCTTTTACCTGGACGGTGTCGTAGCCCAGGATTCCAGTCATGCTGCCAGTGCCGTACTGGATGGAGACATTCTGATTGGTGGCCTGGTAGGTGGAGGAGGCTGATGGGTTGAAGCGGTTGTGGTTTGCTGCACGTACAAAAGGGTCACATGGTCACAGGCTGATACTTGGGATTCTCCCCCTGTATTGAAGGGCAAGGCTTGGAAGACTAGTGAAGTGGTGAATTCCTTGGTTGGGGGAAGTGTGCTCACATTGAACCGTTTTGCAGCTCTCAGCATTGCAATACCTATGTCCCTTTATGACTCTAGCCCTTGGTGTGTCCAGAAACCATTTCCCACCTCTGGCACTGTCTCACCTGACTATCCATGGACAACAGAGATGGGAAACCCTGTCATCTCTCTCAAAAATGATTGTTTTTAATTAAAAAAATCAAATGGTTAAAAATTAAAATGGTTTTAAATTACAACCTCTCGTGGGCAAATCTAAACATATTATAATACATTAAAATTGGTCAAAGGAAATAAGTTACTGTTAAGCAGTGCATGTTTGCTACTGGAGTTTGAAAGGTAGGCTACTGCTCCGGTGGATTTCACTGACTCAGCAGCTGTAACTACCTATTGAAATGCAAAAACCAGCTTTTCACGGCATTTTTAACCAAATTCCAGTTACCATGTAGAGATGAACATCTACATCACAGTAACAACATTAGGGTAGATCTACACTAGCTCGTTAATTCGAGCAAGGTAGGCAAATCAGGCAACCGGAGTTGCAAATGAAGCTTGGGATTTAAATATCCCAGGCTTTATTTGCATGTTCCCGTCCGGCTGCCATTTTTAAATCCCCCTTAGTTCGAACGCACTGCCCGCAGCTACATGTGGTGGTTTAAAGTTAATCCAAACTAAGTCCTTAGCTCACATTAATTGTTACTCCTCGTGGAATGAGGAGTAACAGTTAATTCGAACTAAGGATTTAGTTCAAATTAACGTTTCACTACCACGTGTAGCCACATGGCAGTGAGTTTGGGCTAGTGAAATTTCAAAATGGCAACCGGACGGGAACACGCAATTAAAACCTGGGATTTTTAAATCCCGGGCTTCATTTGCAACTCCGGTCACCTCATTTGCCTACCTAGCTCGAATTAATGAGCTAGTGTAGACCTACCCTAAGGTGCTACTAGACTATTTGTTGTGTTTTAAGTTTTTCCTGTTACAGAATAACTCAGCTACCCCTCTGAAGCTATTACAAATATACAGATTCAAAGTCTGAATAACTGTATGGTAAGGTCTATGAGGCCATGTCTACACAATGCAGAAGATCAACGCTGCTGCAGTTGATCTTCCAAGGTTTGACTTAGACCTACTAGTTCGAACTAAGAGAGCACCTCCATCAGTGCCAGTACTCCTCTACACAAGGAATAAAGGAAGCCAATGGGAGTGTTAGCTCCCACTAACCTCCTGCTCTGTGGGCAGTGTGAAAACATGATTTAAAATACATCGACTCCAGCTACGTAATTAACATTGCTGGAGTTGTGTGTCTTAAGTTGACGTTCCCCTTTAGTGTAGACCTGGCCTAAGAGATTACACTCAAAATCTACCGATTTATTTAGTGAGAGGCAGCACCGAGTGTAGTGTGAAAGCTATATTGAGTTGCTAAACAGCTTGTTTTAATGGTTACCTGCAAGGAACAACTTCCTTCGGGAAAATAACTGGCAAGTACAAATGCAAAGCCAGGTTACCATGGATGATGTCAATCTAGGTTTCCCCATGACTGATTTAAATCGCTCTGATTTCAATCAGTCTGCCCAACGGGCATGCCCAGGCAAGAGGTGCTGCAGGTGACTTACAGCAGGCGGCACTGGAGCAGTACACGGAGGGCACCCACAGGTTGGAGGAGCCGGTGTCGAAGAGGACAGTGAAGTCCTGGGCTGGGGTGCCGATAGAGATGGTTCCACAGTACTCGATCTGCCAGAGGAGGACGAAGGATGATTATAAAGAGAGGGACCCATGGGCTAGATCCACAGCTGGTGTAAACTGGTGTAGAACTGGCTGATTTACGCCAGTGGAGGGTCTGGGCTATGGAGTTCTTGCTAAAGACTCAGCCTGAGCTGGTGTTTCTTTGCCATCGCTTTGCCCACTGTGGCTCCAAGTACCTGCTGGCATCAGATGCACAGAGTCACTTAGCTCCAGTACGGGGAGCTCTATTCTCAGTGTTTTAATACCATCCAATTACAACAGGGGCTGGCTGGCTCAGCATAGGGGCTGGACTGCAAAAAGGGGGGAGCTTGGTTGGAAGCACATGGGGGGTGGGGCCACCTTTGGGAGGAGGGAGAGATCCCCTGTTGACAGAGGAGGGGGAAGCTTTGATGGGGAGAAGGAGGCTACAAGCCCTGCTGGCTTGCCATACTCACGTCCATGTAGTTCGTCAGGGGCTCAGTAGCAAACTGGTCTCCCAAGCTGGGGAAATACTTAGAGGCCGGGTTGTAAGGGTGTTTCTTGAGGAAATCCTCCAGCAAGCCATGTTCCTTCAGGTTCTGCCTCAGGGATTTCCGCTTCTGCAGGGGGACCCTAAACAGCAAAGGTAGGGAGAGAGACCGATCGATAAGAAATCAGCACTAGGCAAGCCTTGTGTTCAGAGAATTCCATGCAGCGCTCACCTTGCGCTGAGATCTCTTATTATAGCTGGGATTAGCACAGGAGGATCGGCAAGCGGGGTGCCCCGTCCACTGAAAGTCAGTGTGAGCAGGGGATATAATTCACACCGGGGTCTTGGAAATCCCTGGCCCATGAGTAACTAGCATGGAGGGGGGCTTAGTATGCTGGGAGCTATACTGCTACGTAGTATAAGACAGTCCCCCTCTTCCAGAGCTGATGAAATGAAATATCATGTTCATTTTTAACCAGAGAACTGAGGCTCAGCCAGACTCAGTGACATGGTCGCACAGGGTGCTGGTGGCAGAACCGGGGAGGAATCTGGATTTTTCCAGGTCCCACCCCGCTGCTGTAACCACAAGTCCCTCCTTCCTCCTACCTGTACCTGCCATATAGCCCAGGGACAGGTCCACCTGCTGCCTTTTAAGGCGCGTGGAGAGGAGAGCGTTAGAAGGTGCTGCTGCAGCTAAGGACGTTGCTCTGTAGAGAGCCGAGCTCAGCACCCTGGTGTTTCTTGTTCCTCCCCCATACTCACTTTGTCACCAGGCACTGAGACAGCGCCACCAAACTCAGGAGCAGAAGCCACTTCATGATGTTCCTTCACACCCAAACTGATGGGGAAAGAAAAATGGGGGCGCTCAATGTAGCACAGCCCCGGGGTGCTGCTCCTTATATACACACCGCGCAGAGCCTTTCATATTCCTATGAGTAGCCCTGATAAGAAACGCAAACCTGCCGGATAAGATTGCCTGAGATATCCTTGAAAGCAAGGCTTGTAGGACATTCCATCCGCATGGATTTCCACCTTCACTTTGCAGTGATCTGAAAACAGGCGAGTCCCCTAGAAGGAAGGGGTGAGAGTTAGCGGACGTTTCCGAACGTTGCAAAGAAAAGCCATTGAGTTGTTTTAAAGAGTAAACAGGAGGCAGAAAGAGGAGCTGGGAGCGGATAAAGAGACATTTACCGCTTGATCATTGGTTCCCATCTGGCCCCGTGTTGGGAGAGAGGGCAACAGTTTCAATACAGCTATGTAGTGGGAAACCGGATTATGATGCTTAATGCTTCGAGGTGATTGATATGACTCTGAGCGCTGAAGTCAGTGAACTGGCAACTAGGACAAGCCATAGTGGTTGATTCAAAGGCTATGGAGCCTATTTCTCTCTTTGGCACGGATCCGTCTCACGCAGTTCAGTAGCAAACATCATTGTCACCTGACAGCTCTTGGATAAAATATGCTGGTATTCCCCACCCTTTCCTAGTGGCACATGTCAGGGTGGGGAAGGATCGGGTGGGAGCACTTGGTTTAGGTGGGGGTAGATACACGTGATGTGACTGCCCTCAGCAGGTCTGGGGGAAAATGGTAAATTGTGGTTGGCCATGGCAGGACTAAGGCATTGCGGGGGGACCACGGAGGCCACCAGTGGAGGAGACGAGGGAAGAGATGTCCGGTCCTTTTTGGGTAGCGGGTAAGGTGACCATGACAGGATTTAGGGAGAGAGAAAAGGAGATCCTGGATGACCCCCAAACTGGTGAGTGATGACTGGGGCTGGGAACAGATCATGGGTTCAAGCCCCAATGGCAGGGATCTGTGGGGAGCCCTGACAATGCAGCCAGCCATCCTATTCCTGGCAGCCATCCTATTCTTGGCAGGAGCCATCCATTGTACTTGGGTACCAGGAGCTGCTGGTCTGCCTGAAATCACAATGGCAATCTCATGAGATTAGACAAGAGCATTTAATTTTCCATTTAGCACTATCCACACCTGACCCTACGAGGACAAGCAAACACCAGGGGAAGGATGAAGTTTCCACATGACTGGGAGTGAAGTTGCCTTAGTCCAGGGACAACTCTAACAAAGGGACCTGGAGCAGGACAGGCCTGACTTTGCCGCACTGTTTATGAAAACGTATCCGTTTGTATAAATTAATCTGAGCCGAACCGGTCCTGAAAACCACCTTATCCGATATCTCCCGATGCCCCATCGTCAGGTCCTGGCATGCAGGGTTTGTCTCCCAAATGAGCAGCTGCTTTCTATTCCGTGCTCCAGGTTTTTCAGGAAAGAGACATCAGAGGTCACCAAACATCCATCACTTGACTTGGGCTCAGACTGGAGGCCTCGAAGTGGAAGGCTCTGTACGCCAATCCTCATGCTGGCCAGTTTGGGGCCAGACTGCACCGAGGCACAATGGGAAGCAAACGGCTCCGTCTTCCATTCCTGAACTTGCCAGGTGGCCGGTCCCTGTGCTTCTGATGCTTCTCAAAAGGATCTTTAGTTCAAGGCAGGAATTATTCCATCCTGTGGTTCAGAGGGAGGTTTATGATGGTGAAGCCCTGGTTAGTGGCAGGAGGGAATGTGGCTTGTGATGTGTTTTCCTTGTCAGGAACTCGGTGCTGCTAAATGAAAAGTAAACCTTGTTGTCAAAACTGCTGGGATTCTCATTCCTGATTCAGGTAGAGCAGATGCTCCTGGAGCCTGGCCTGAAACTCCACTCCAGTGGCTATTCTCCTGCCAGGAACTGAATGGCCGCGGTGCCAGGGCTAAGAAGTAGGACCTTACTCCCCCGCCATGCCATTGGGGCTGGAACCCACAGTTTGGCTCTGCACCAGGAAATCAGTCTCCAGAGTTGGGGCCATCCAGGATTTCCTCCTTTTCTCTCCCTCTAAGGTCTAATTGATGTTGACCTTCCCATGTGCCACGGAGGGCTG